CCGACGATCTTGTTGTTCGAGCGGCCCAAAACGTAACGCTATGTACGACATTTTATCAGTTTTCAAGTACACGAACTTTAGAGCAGTGACCCTGTAAACAGATCGCTTACATTTTATATTCCGAAATCATGACTTTATTGTCCACGATTTTCCATAAGCCTCAGTTCGTTTATTCTTGTGCTTCATTTTTGTCCTTGTATTTGAAGAATATTTTTCCTGTAGATTCCTTCCTAACTCTGTTTCCTTTACATTTGATTTATCACATCTCACCTACCCAGTTTTATCTACTGCTGTATCGTGCTTAGTGTCATACCGTGTGTTTAATTTACTCATGTTCCTTCTCCTGCTTTTAATCGTATTTATTGCATGTGTATCTCCCCTCTTAATCTCAAGATTGTATTGTTTCTTATTCCGATCTTAACACTCTGCTATCTAAAACATGAAGGCAATATTTAATATGTTTTGCTTTCATTCTCGTTTCTCTTTCGTGTCGTTCGTAAAGTAAAGTAAATAAAGTTATCCCTGTAACGGGCCGCGAGATGTTGAGGTTCCCACATTTTCTAGACAATCGGCTCATAGTTGGCCGCGGAGGCCCATAGGGTTGTGAGATGTTGAGGTTCCCACATTTTCTAGACAATCGGCTCACAGTTGGCGGCGAGGTTGTCAGCCCTACGCACCGGCCGCCCTTTACCCCCAAGAATACTCCAAGAATATTCTTGGTACTCAATTCTGTTAGAGGCTGAGTTCATGTCGTTCGTAATTTTCTGAAATATGCTGTGGATATATAATTCTCGTAATTTATATGGTTCCTAGATCTTATTTTTTGTATATGTATCTCTTATTGTCTGGTCCTCATTTCTTGACTCAATAGTTCGAACACAAACTGTGATATTTCCATTTGTCTGTTCTCTTTCTCATATCGCCTTCTTTACATTTAGTTGTTCCTGTTCGTGTCAATACTGTATTGTTTAGAGATTGGCTATGTAGACTCCTGTGACGTATTTTTATATATGATTTAAGCAGACAGCGTAGGTTACATTTGTTGTGGATCATAAAATGTTTAACCTGAAACGATAAAATCAAACACTTTAATAATGATTTTGGAAATCACGACTTTTCTAAACGCCAGCGTTCAATGAATTCAGTCGGTTCCTTCTTCATACCACTTACCATTTACAGTCCATTCCCAGGCACGTCAAGATATGTGTATATCGCGACTTACCTTTTTATTTTCAGTAGCCCGCACAAACCTGGCTTAGATTGTCTTGTTTGCCTCTCGAATAATTTCATACTTACTTTGTTTTACATTTCGTGCTATCTAATTCGCGTGTTTTCTTTCGGCCACTGACGAATGTAGAATATTTTAGTCATTTTTTACACATTTAAATAGATTGAAATTAATTTCAGTCACGTGTATGTGCATCATTTCAAACACTTCTTCGTCTTACAAATGAAGAGTATAATGTTGGCATACCCACCAGCGTAAACCCGGAAACAGAGTATCTTGTTAAAAGTCTCGAAAATAAAATTAGTTATTAAATTAATTTAATTAAACTCCCATTTTTTTTTCAATTGCTCTTCCAACACATTTAAGACCCTGGCCTCTTATTCAGATCCGTAATCATTTTTAACAGACGATAGGACTCCTTGGACTAGTGATCAGGCCGTCGCAAGGCTTCTACCTACACATAGGACAGCACAACCACAGATTAAACGCATACACACACCAGACATCCATGCCTACATTGGGATTCAAACCCACGATCCGAGCGAGCGAAGACAGTTCATGCTTTAGACCGCGCGGCTACTGTGACCGGCAAACGCCCATCTTACAAGAGCATAAATTCCAATAAATATAATCAAATGTACACGTTATTGGTTGTTTTTCTATTAAATAAGTAAAAAAGGTAAAGGGTAGAGGTATCCCTGCAATGTGCCGTGGAGGCCCACAGGGTTGTGAGACGTCGAGACTCCCACGTTTTCTAGACAGCCGGCTCACAGATGGAGGTGACGTCAACCTGAGGCGCCGGCCGCCCTTTACCCCAAGGAAGATTCCTGGTACTCACTTCTGTTAGAAGTTGAGTCGACCCCAGGGCCATAGTACGGCTGAAAGGATTAGATCGATTGAAAAATCTAGTGGCCTTGTCTGTAATCGAAGCCGCGACTTTCCAGCTTGCAGCATATTGCTTCAGCTAACTTCGCTGCCGGGTACCCATAAACTCAGAGTGAAATGAAATTAATTATTGCAGTAATAATATTATTTGTTATATATCTCTCATGATTAATGCGAGCCTTCTGAGCCGTGAAGAGGCGTGTGAGTGAGTCGTACCATTTCCTACCATTCCCACTTTCGTGTTTCGCGTCAATTGCGATTGAGCAGTGCATGTGAGCCGTGTGCATGATGGTGCTGGAAGTCAATCGAGGGTTCTGTGCTGGGGCGTGGTGCTGCAGGGGGATGAAGGGAGGATTACAGTCATCAAGCTCATGATTCTCAGGTTGCTCCCCTGTGATGGGTGATGGGGTAGGGGGAGCAATTATTCTCTCCGTCCAGCGAAATGGGTCGAGACCCTCCGGCGCTGTTTGTAATGCTGAACTGGCAATGCGGCTGTCCTCATATTGCTTTCTTTTGTTTCGGCTAACGTCAGTCTATCTCCTTTATTAGCATGACGTGTGAATCTTTTGTCTGTCCCTTGCCAGTAGCTTTGAAATGATGTTACGGTGTTATAATCACGTCCTTGTGTATGTGTGTGTGCACCTCACTTCCATACACTTTACTACCATCGTCAGTAATACCAACATGACTTCTGACGTCGGTGCAGTACTTAAGACACGGAGTGAAAGGTTCTGAAATTCTATGAGATAACATATTTTTAAAAACATGTAAATATTTAAGATTTTTTTGCAAAGCTTAAACCTAAAACAAGTAAAATGCAGATGTCCAAAATTTGTGTTTTCGCCATTTGATTTGTTAAAAATTAATTAACCGTTTCAGGCGGTAAATTTTGAATTCATTATTCTATTCCAAAATAATCTCGCTATATGTCTAATTCTTAACAATGAATTCACCGTTATATTCATCAGTTCAGTTATCAGATTATATTTCACACCAAATTTGACAAATATCCCTCTGTGGTTTACGCTTCAGAACTAATGTCGCCCGAATGTGCACCTGTTGAACAATCCGACATCGGCTGATCGTTTTTTGGGGTATTTAACTGTGGTGTTACGGCTCCTGAGTGACCGCCTCAGTGGTCTAGTGGTCAGAGTTCCTGGCTACAGATCCAGAAGTCCCGGGTTCGATTTCCGGCGCTACCAGATTTTCTTAGAAGTAGTGGGTCTGGAACGGGGTCCATTCATCCTCGTGAGGATAATTGAGGAGCTATTTCAAGGAAATAGCGGCTCCGGTCTAGAAAATCGAGATTAACGGCCGTGGGGATCCGTTGCTCTGACCACGTGACACACTCTGTCCGCAAAAGTTGGCACTAATTTCACCGACAAGCGGTGGTCGCTCGGTCAGTACAGTTCGCTTGCGGACTACAGGTCACGAAGTTTGTTTTTGTTTGTTACAGGCAGCAACTTTTTTTATCTTTCGCTGATGTTATAAAGCCTAAAATATTAATACTTTGCTCTGATATAACAGCATGTTCCATTTATTCTAAGTTCATATCACTCCAACATTAACATGAAGCTTATGTTGAATTCTGTCCATGACTGAAGTTGTTCTTGCCTTTATATACTGAGCATTGCCCCAGGGACGAGCCTGTTTCCTGCAGTGCAAAGTATCCCATTGTCCCCTCAAGGGATTCATAACAAAGTGGACAATTGGCAAAGATTTCGGCCACATCGTAAGGGAGAGTTGGTAAAATAATATTACCGATTTGATTACTGACGGACAAATGAAGAGAAATGCGCGTCTTTCTCCCACTGGAGAGTAATACGGCATAAGGCGATTCAGTATGATTTTGATGTGGCAATCAGCCAGCAGCAGATAATGATCTAGAACGTGGCCTTGCTATAAAACTGGTAAAATATAAAATGTAGCAAACTTAGAGTACTCGGTAATGACGGAAATTAATTCAAATAACACGCACGATGATTTGTGATATATGAGGCTCTTGCGGTGTTGGATAGGAAGTGCACTGTCTTCTGGGATTTGACTCCGTTTACGGAAACGTCGGTAAACCTCTACCACACTACACAGTTTCAGCTTCTAGAAGATAACACGCTTCAAATAAAGAGGACCTTAAATACGGAATTAATTAATTAATTAACACCCTGAGGGCTATGGGGAATGGAGGTATAATTCCACCATACTTAAGCTAGATGGATAAGGACGGTTAGAGTCAAGCCCTGGCTGCTTTAACCCCATGAAGAGATCAGCCAGTATTCATTATATGAGGTTGGGTGGACCCCAGAGTCGGTCTCACCGCTGCGTAGAATAGAGGACCTAGTGACCTTGTCAGTGGCATGCTGTTTGTTACTGGCCGCCAGAATAGATCCTTCACCCGCAGTTTCCTTAGCTGGAATTTTCGAAGTTTCAGAATTAAAAGCTTCAGAGGAAACCCGATCTCCCTTTCCCTAAGAAAAGAGTATTGAATGGGGATGTTTCAGGACAAAGCGTTGAGGGGAACGTCACTCCCGAGTCAGATGACTCAAGAACGAAATGGAGGTCGCTGTATAATGCGGAGCTTCATAATTACACTTTTCTTCATATTGTTACGGAGTTAAATAGGCCAGAATGAGCAGGGCGGACGAAGAGAGGCCGGCGTCTAACATCTGCTCTGTGTGAAAGACTTAGGGCAGGGCGCTCTCAGGAAATGTGGAGAGCATACAAGATTTTAATGGAAAAAAATTGGTAGAAAGAGACCGCTCATTATACAGAGATGGAAACTGAATGGTAGTTAGGTAATATTTGATCAATATTTGAAGTGAATTAAACCGGCTTAATATAGGGCTACAGCCAGTAATCTGATCTCAACTCTCTTCCTCTCTGATTTCAGATCCCTACCAAATGTTCGGTCCCACCAGCAGTCGATTGGCAAGCTCAGGTGAGTCCCAGCAGTCTGATGTTGTGAATTGGCGGACAGCATCTTCATGAGAAATGAAATTTGCAGTTTTGAGATCCGCCCAGGAAAGTTCATGAGAAGAATATAAATTTGACTGTAGTTTCCTTCCCTCTCAATTGGTCCTTTATTTGTCTGTTGCTTGTATATGTTTTGTTTTCGACTACAGTATGTGAAAAGAAGGCACCATATTCGAAGAATAATAATATAATATGTTTACAGTTTCACGAAGCTGAAGATTCATATTGTAGTCATTTGGTCAGTGACGTCATGTAGTCTGTATATCTTCTTTCTTTTTTTGGGGGGGGGGGGGGGAATCTGTTATGCAAGTCTGGCGTTCATGTTNATTATGTCCAGCTGAAATGTTGATCCTACACGGTGCCACAATCCAGAAGACCATAATGTCACGATTAAGGGGTGTGCATGACTTATGGATGGGTTTTGGATTGGATGATTGTATTTATTGCAACCTTATACACTCCACTCGGAACTGTAGGTAATTACAGCGCTATGGCTGTTTCCACTCTTTACAGTTCACTGGTACACGCTAGTGTCTTCAATGTATTACACTCTCCACTAGTCGTTTACTGGCAACGGATTCATAACAGTCTCATTGTCACTTCACATCACACATGAAGCCTTCTTTGCACAGTATAATTATTTTCTTGCCATTATTCTGCCAACTGCCAACTCGGAACTTGACTCGAGTCTAATTCTAGTTGCGTGAGATCCTCGTTGTATGGTCTCGGAGCGGACCCACAGAAATCACCGCGTACTGTATTGTTGCGTATTGATTCACTTCTGCAGAGATGTGTTTACCGCACATTTGCGTAGCAACGAGCGCGGCGCGGATCCACAGAGAACGCCACTTGCAACAGCTCTTCAATTGCTCTTGACGTCACAGCGTACGTGACTCGTTCCTCTGCTGCGTGTGTGCAGGCCATTACCTAGCAACGGCTGTTTCTCTGCCTCCACAGTTCTTGCTTTGAGCAAATACGCCACAATATGATATTAATCGATAGGCTGTCGTCGCATAAGGCATCTTGCTCGGAAGCGTGCAATGCCAACGAACTAAGTATGTGTATATGGTGCAAAGTTTTCTTCAACAGTAGATAGCAGTCCAGCCGGTCAGCATATTCTCTGCATCTAATGGAATCAGTAAGCTCAGTACCGCATTCAGTAAGGCCCACAACTTAACCTCATCCTAAACCTTTTTAATTTAGTCCACAGTAGTGTTTTAATGGGGTGGGGTGAAACTCAGTCCACTTGTACGTCGGCCACTAATTTGCCATTGTGCCAGCCCCGGATGAGAGGTGATGATGAATCTGGAGCAGCCGGTGGAAGGAAAATTGGTAGGGGAAACCGAAGTACTCGGAGAAAACCTACCCCAGTTCCACTTTGTCCACTACAAATCCCACATGACGGGACCTGGGGCCGCCGCGGTGGGAAGCCGGCGGCTAACCGCCTGAGTTGCGGCACGGCCTAGTCCACAGTATCACGCACGCTTTCTCAGAGATCCATTTGCTTATGTCTTGTCATGTAACCTAGGTCTCTTTCTCTGATTATTTTCGGCCACAGTTTTGTAAATATTCCCCGCTTCCACCGTCCGTGCTACATGTTCGTCCGTTATTTCATTACAATTGTGCGTAAACATGTCCATATTGGACTGCGAAATGAGAGAGCTTAAAGGGAAACTGTGCGTCTGTTAGCAAGATAGTGTGAAGTGGCGGAGGCTCTCGGACCTTTCGTTGGAAACCTGAAAGGAAGAGACCACTTGGCATATCCACGCGCAGAAGAGACGGTGACGCCAGGCACGTCGGTGCTAGTGGAGCACTCCTGAATCTTCGGTCTCCATAGAAGGCGGAACATTTCTTTGTTAACTTTGCGACCATCAGCTATTAATGAAGGATCCTGCTCCATGTAATTAGTTTTCATTTCAATTTGGTTACTTTCTTCATAACTTGTACTCTTCTCCAAGTATAATTAGAATCATCAAGTCAAGGAGGATGAGATGGGGAGGGCTTGTAGCACGAATGGGGAGAGGAGAAACGTATATAGGATATTGATGGAAAGCCGGAAGGAAAGAGACCATTGGGAAGACCAAGACGTAGGTGGGGTGGACAATACTAAAATGGATCTCAGTGAGACAGGATGGGATGGTATGGATTGGATTGATCTGGCTCAAGATAGGGACCAGTGGAGGGCTCTTATGAGAACGGTAATGAACCTTCGGGTTCCAGAAAATGCTGTGAAGTTCTTGAGTAGCTGCAGAATTGGCGGCTCCTCCAGAAGGGCTCAGCTCCATGAGTGACTGAGAGTGATTTGGTTACTTCCTTTAAGTTCATCCCCTGGTTAAGCAGATGATCCCAGCTAGTAAAGTCGCCAGCATGATCGGGAATCGATTCCGAATAGAGTTCCGATTTCTCTCTTCGCTTACCCAACTTTTTATTCAATGGGTGTTTTATTGTGGTCTGTTTAACGGCACCGTCAATATTTCAGACTACATATCGTCAAAGAGTATGATTATTGAATAATAATTTGGAAGGAAGCTGTTATCTTATCGTGCTACTGTCCCAGCCCACTACTAGACTCACTGAGAAGAAACGCGAAAACCCATTCAGCCTTTCCGGTATCCTAGCCGGAGTTCGAATAGAATAATTCCCGAATACGAATCCAGAGCAAATACTACAGGTTTCTGACGATGGTGTATAACACAGAGATACTGGGTTTTCGGACTTCGTCCATTGGCCGGATTCTAAATAACTAAGAAAAACACAACGTTTCGGAAACTGGATCTGTTTCCGTCCTCAGCTGAGGGACCCAACAGAATAGGTGTTTTCCCTCACTTGAGGACGGAAACAGATCCAGTTTCCGAAACGTTGTGTTTTTTCTTAGTTATTTAGAAAAGCGGCCTCCGTAGTCTAGGGGTAACGTATCCACCTCATGACTCAAGGTACGTGGGTTCAAACCCGGAGGAGGTCGTGGAATTTTTAAGGGCGGAAAAATTCGGGGAACAAGTCCTCCGGGAGGGACTTTAAGCCGTAGGTCACGTGTCGTAGCTTTACGGCACGTAAAAGAACCTCATGTGTCAAGGAGACTTCTGAGCCAAATTTGTAAGGACATTTCCCGCCCAACAGTAGTCTCTAACGCCTCTGGTAGATGGGAGAAGTATCTAGATACAGCTGAGCCCGTAGAGGCCGAACTCGCTGGCTGAGTCGGGACTGGTGGCACGCACCAGTACCGGTAGGGTATAGAGACTGGTAGAATATCACAGGGGGACGTACAATAGATCAAACTGGTCGCGGTGCATGGGGAAACCCACCCCCTCCAATAATAATAAATAATAATAATAATAGTTATTTAGAAGCCGGACAATGGACAAAGTCCGAAAACCAAGTATCGCTACGAATCCAGAGCGTTACGTAGGCCGCACACCGGCATGTGTCAAGGCATGTAACAGTCAAGACACGATGTCTGCGACATGACGCAAAGAAAAGAGCATAGTTGAAACGAATAAGATTATGAAAACCGCCGCACACCGGTCTGAGTCATGATACTGATGTCAGCTTCATGCTGTCTCGTATCGAGATGCTTGTCTTGACGCAGTTTGTGTGCGGTCGCCCTTAAAGCTGCACCAGGCTCCTCGGTGTGTCCTCTGGATGCCGGGTGCTCCTGACCTCCGGGAAGACGCGGTTAGTGCATACAATTGACCGGGTACCTCGATCTTTTGATATTGAGAGTATGTGGAGCTTGACTTCACTCTAACTCTGTGCCCTTACATAGAGTCAAAGTGTTACGTTAAGTTACATTCATCAGAAGTGACCCACAGATGCAGGTTTGACTTCCCCTCAGGCAGGGGCAGCTGATCTCACATAATTACATAGACAGTCAATCTGAGTTGTAGACATGGGGACACTTGGCTTGTGAATGTTAACCCTTGGGGACACATTAATCCCTCGCAAACAAATTTTATGCTGTCTGATTCGGCCACGCATGTCCACGTGTCCCTAGGGGTTTGAATTGCCCTTAATTAACTAAAACCACGCCTGGTAAATTACTCCGTCGTGTGCCACGTGGAACCTACGTGCCACTCCGATAATTTTTTTTGTTTCCTTATTATCGGGGTAACTATTCCAACCAACCGATTTATAACAAATTTCCGCCATATAAGAAATTAGTTATACGAAAGACATTTTTTATTTTACGCACATCTGTCTTTCTGATTAATGATAAATTTGCGTTTCAAGGGCGTAGCCCATCGGCGTAGAAGTGTCTGATTAGCTGTACAAGAGAAATGACATAGGTTTATTATTGGTTGGGCACTTCAGTATATCATTTATTTCTCCTGTCACTAGATCGCTATTCTTTTATGGCATGGCAACTCATCTGATCCACAAGACAGTCTTTTCTAAGGTACCGAAGGATAGCTCGCTGTAGTGCTAAGGCTGTCCGTCCGTCTGTTATTGTCTTGAATCAGTTAAGTACGTTAATATCCTAGCTGTTATTTTTTAATCTATTTAGTGCCCCACGACTTTGTAATAGCTTCAAGAGGCTATTCATGAGGTCATTATAAGTCATAATTTTTATAACAATATCGACCCTATCCTCAACAGTTTCGGAGCTGTGGGTTTTTTAAATGTAGCGCATGCGCGCAGCAGGCAAGCACTTGTTTGTCAAGTTTTCCAAAAAAAATGAACTGCCGGCCTTCTTAGAGAACGTTCCTCTACGGACACGACTGTACATGTCTTTTTCCCTCTCTGACTCTATAGTCCTTCTGTTGGGCCTTGGCCGCTTTTTCAGTTCCCTTATCCTATACACAGTCGGTAGGACTCCTTGTACGGGGAATCAGCCCGTCGCAGGCCGCTACCTACACACAGAACAATACTGATGTCCATGCCTTGAGTGGGATTTGAACCCACGATCCCAGCGTTCGAGAGAGCGAATCAGTTCGTGCCTTAGACCACGCGGCCACTGTGATGAGCCAA